GAGAAAGGATGTGCTTTCCTTTCTCTGACCAAGGGACCTCATCAGCCTTCAGTAGAGCAGATGCCTTTGAGTTGTTCTGTTCCTTACAGTGTTACATCCAAATAACATCTCCCCTTTGACTTAACAACTGAAGGAGACTTGTAACCCTATTCCTGAAGGACCTGGTCCTCAGTACATTTATGTGCAAAGTTACTCTTCCATTATTCATTTTGGGATATGTTACTGCTCTAGAGTTTGCTGCAGATGGCCTGTATAGCAAATTAGCCTTTCAAACTCCACCCAGGACTGAGTCTGACCTTTGAAGAGGGTGAAATGACACAAGCTGTTAAACTAACAATACTGAAAAAAGATGTAACAATAGGATAATATAAAATATGGTGGACACACCATGGCATGAAGGGAGCACCTGTTGTAACATGACATTTTAGTGAATTGCTTTAGGGGTAAAGTCACTGTTTTTCTGAGATCTGCCAGGCATCATGAGGGGAGCTTCTGCCTTTTGTGAACACTTTACATGACAGTGTGGTTAGGCAATGGAACAACTTAAAGTAGGGAATAGAGGGAGAAACAAGTAAGTATCACCGTTGGCTGTGCTGTGTACATTCTGCTTATGCCTGGTACAGGCAGCTGTGACCTCTTCCTCTCCATCTACAGCACATTACCTTGTGTTTAGTGTGGTTCCCATTGTGTTCCTATGATTTATCATGAGCTATTCCTGCTTTAGATGTTCTGTCTGAAGAACAGATCCGACTGAAGAAACTGAAGAAGCAGGAAGATGATCAGGCTCGGACAGTTGTGGTGCGTCCAAACCCTCCAAATCCGCCAAGCCCTTCCCACAAACTGACGCCGGAACAGCTGAGCATGATAAAAAAGCTCGTGGCCGCTCAGCAGCAGTGCAACCAGCGCTCCTTCACAGACAGACTCAAAGTGACGGTAAAAACTCTACCAGTGTACCCAGAATAAGAAAAAGTGAAGTTTGGGGAGTTGCACTTTAGGTAAAACATTTGGGAGAACAGTTACTTTTAGGCATTGCATCTGTGGGCTAAAACTCTGTAAAGAATAGCAAAGGGTGATGTTCTGAAGCTGTCATTTTCTTTTCTTGTTCTCGTCATCTTACCTTTCATCTTCGGCTCAATCTTTCACAAATATATGCTGTCTCTTCTCGTTCCCACAGCCATGGCCCCAGATTCCTGATCCAAATAACCGTGAAGCAAGGCAGCAGCGTTTTGCTCACTTCACAGAACTTGCAATTATCTCTGTGCAAGAGATAGTGGACTTTGCCAAGCAATTACCTGGCTTCCTGGAGCTCACCAGGGAAGATCAGATCGCTTTACTGAAGACATCTACCATAGAGGTGAGGGTTTGACGCCACCCCAGAAAATAGTAGCAGAGATGTAAGATTTGACATTTCCCACCTAGAGAACTAGTTCCATCGCTTTTTTGAGGATGGCAGACTGAAGGACCTCAGCTGTTGGACCATTACTGCGGTGCGAGGTTATATTGGCAAGATGCCTAGTTATATACTGCTGTATAGTGCCTATATATAGTGCCTGATTATACAGGAAGGGAATGAGGCAAATGCCTTGGTAGTGGTAAACGGGAATTTCCCATAAGCAGACACCACAAAGGATGGCAGCAGACCTTATCTTGGAATTTTTGAGCACTCTGAGGGAAACTGGAGTGGTTTTGTTTGGTAGTTGGTTTGTTTTTTTGGTTTTTTTTGTTGTTTGTTTTTTTTTAAAGATGCTTCAAAAGTCAGCAAATTATTGATGTTATAACATTTCTTCCTGCTTTCAAATCAAATATATCTTATTTCTGTCTTCAGGTGATGTTGTTGGAGACATCTCGGCGCTACAATCCAGAGATTGAGAGCATCACCTTTCTTAAGGACCTGAGCTATAATCGGGATGACTTCGCCAAAGCAGGTGGTGCATTAGACAGGTGTTTCTTCTTCCCCAGTGTCTTGTGTTCTTATATATTTTCCTTTTTAATGTAGGCAGCTGGAAGCAGTTTGTGGTGAGAGAGGTTTAGAACAGGACCAAACCAATGGCCCCACAATGTTTTTTTTTTGCTTTTAATGTATGGTACCAGCTCAGTTCATGTCTTTTCCTAGGTGTCAATTTGCTTGGGAAAATCTGGACTCTTAAAGCATGAAAATATTGTTGCAAGTGTCCACCTAGGACTAGCAGTTGGTGTGAAATTGCTTGCTTGTAGAGGTGTGATGTGGTGGTGGAGCTGTATCAGATCATACCAATCCAAAGTACAGTGTTCTCTCCTTTGCAAGTGTATCACTTGCTAATCGGGATGGATACTTGGAGTGATGACATTACTGTGATTATATTTCAATTGATATGGAGTCTGTGCTAAGCACTGAGGATCCCCAGAGACTGCTTTAGACATTTTATCATCATAATATATGGTAGCCTGTGTTGTTGTGATCTCTGAAGTGTGTTTTTCCAGGAGCTTTGAGTATCTGTAATTTCAGACGAACTAACAAGAAGAGTGTATCTTCAGCATTTTTAACCCCAAAATTTTAGCTGTGATTTTTAAGTTTTATTCTTTGAGTAGCTATTTTAACCATTTATACTTGAGATGGTCTTTATATACAACTTTTCTTTATGACTCTTTCCCTGGTAGACTTCAGGTTATTAGAAAGGCAAAAAGCAGGGATCCAGAAACATTCCATCCATTTTGTTCCTCCTTCTCTGATGCATTTGTAATGCAGGAAATTGGAAAATTGGATGTTGTTTTGGAGGAAGGGCCTGAAGTTTTCAGTATGATTACATAGCACAAATTTGACAGTGGTCTCTGTTATGACAATAAATATCAGTGCATTTCTGTCTGACTGCATTTATCAAATGAGGTTATTGGAAGCCTAGGCCAGGCTCTGCCTCAGGTCTCCCAGTTCTTTGAGCTGAAGGAAATGGCATAGCTCA